CACTTTGAAAGAAACATGGGGATTTAAACAACATTAAGTTGGTGGCAGTTCCATCTCAGTATTTCCAGTTGAGAGAAGGATGGAAAGCATGACCCCCCTCAAAGGAGTGAGGGACATGCAGACCCCCTGAAGCAGGAGCAGGTGACAGGAGAGGGACACATAAGTTCCCCCCCCACTGTGCCTGACCAAGCTACCCTTCCTGAAGGGACTTGGGGCTCTGCATTATCCCCAAACAAGTCTCCCTTGTGGGTGTTTTGTTGTTATTTGCAATTCAACTTCAAGATCACCTGTCAAATATACCAAGGACAGAACAAAATATTCTGAGAATTTCTAAAAACACAGATCCAGACATATTGTTAAGGGTAAAAGTCTACTTCGGAGCTTTGATTTTCTTAAAAAAATAAAGCAGAGAATAGGCACGCACTGTGAAATGTTGTTAAATGAAAGAACACATGGGAGAGAAATGAAGGTGGATTTAATTTGGAATAGTTTCATTTTAATGATGTAAAAATACTTGAGCTGCCTTCCTAATTGCTTATTCTTTCCTTTATTTTTACTACTGGGTCACATATTCAACTCCAGGCTGGTCAAATTTCATTCAATTAACCTAGGTCTGTAATAGATAATCCCTGCCTTTCTATGTGATAAAGAGGGTAGGCTCTCCAAGTGTGTTTCTCTCAGAGGAAAGGATGAGAGGGACTCCACGCTCTCACCTTGTGTCCTGGGAGATGTAGCTGAAGGACAGTGGGGGATACATTCATGGATCTAAAGTTAACTTGCCTCTGTGACACTCATCCTGAAACTCATACTGTCATACGGAGCTTTCCCGAAGCCTTCTGAAGACAATAGGCCAATGATTTCCTCCAATTAAAAACTTTTTCTTTGGGGTTCCTGGGTGGCTCAGTGGGTTAAAGCCTTTGCCTTTGGCTCAGGTCATGATCCCAGGGTCCTGGGATTGAGTCCCTCATCGGGCTCTCTGCTCAGCGGGGAGCCTGCTTTCTCCCTCTCTCTCTGCCTGCTTCTCTGCCTACTTGTGATCTCTGTCTGTCGAATAAATAAATAAAATCTTAAAAAAAAACCCAACTTTCTCTTTATTTAAACTAATGGCATCTAAAATCACCACAATTAAAGGTTTCCTCCAAACTGTAAATGTGTTTAACCCAGAGAAGACAAACCCAGGATGCTGCATTTTGGGGGACATATGACAATATGTCCTTGCCTAGATCCTGAGAGTGACCTTGAGACGTGGCAAGCTCAAGGCTGGGAGGGCAAGTGGGCAGTTGCCTAACTTCTTACTATACTGAATGCTGCCATGTTTCAGACGATCATGTCTGGGTACCAGAAGAGACAGAAAACTTCAAACACATGATTCTGGGCTAAATCTCAGCTGAGAAGCTGAATGCCTTATTAGAAGGGAGAGTAAAAAGAAACAAAAGGTGACAGTAAAAAGATTGATCTCTTTCATTCTTTGTTTCTTGCTCTCAAAAAAAAAAAAAAAAAAAGAGTAGTAACTTCGAGAACCTCAGGGCTAAAATTGAGGCACAGCCCCATTGGTGATTTTATGTGCCAGAATGCGGATGCAGTAGGAGCTTAATGGACATTAGGTATCAGAAAGGAGGATACAGGTTTTGAGGCTCAGGATGACTTTCCAAACAATATTAGCAGGATCCAAATGTTGCATCCTCGAACTTTTAACAGATGGTGGATACCTATACTAAAATATTCTTTTTATGCTTCATATTTGATATGTCCGACTAAGCAGACCAAGTCATGACTAAAATTGCTATTTGAATAAACAGTTTCTCATAAATTTGGATTAATAATATATTGGAGTACCATTTGCTTCCAAAAAAATAAAGCCTGAAATCTCATTAAATCGCTAGAAAGCGCTGGTAGTACAAAACTATACAAAATAACAGCAGCATAGTGAAATTACAAAGCGTTTCATTGCGCAGGTGACCCTTTCCTACACGATTTGATTTTCAAAACCTAACTCTTTTTTTTTTTTTTAATATTTAAGATTAGGGATCTTTCTCCCAGTTACAACTTGTAGGTCTGCTTCTGAATTGCAATGAACAGATAAACAAGATCACAGATGTGTCAGTTGAAAGTGAACCTTTTCTGGCACTTGAGGAATTGGCTTACTTAACTGAGCTCTGTTCTCTGTATAATGCAAGATTCTCTGTAACAAGGCGAGATTTTTTTTTTTTTCTTTTTCCGGGAAACCAGGGATTTGTGATGCCGTTTAAAACAGCAAACTTGAACCTCATTATCAAGCTGAGCAAGATTAGGAAAGACTCTGAGTCTTCTTCAAGGATTAGTTGCTAGTTTAAAACAATGCGGGATTTAAAAAGACATTCTCGCGGGCACCAGTGGATTAATCTTGCCATTTCACCATTGGGATAAATGAAAGAAGAAACAATGCCAGCAAACACTATTCTTTCAAAGGATCCTCAAAAACCAAACATTCTACAGTGCAAATGTCAAGATTTATTACAGGGAGGAAATATGTCAGGGCCTTCCAAAACAAAATAAATTCTCCTACTTATTTTGGCCATGTGCTTCTATTCTTTTCAGACTCAAGCCAGATTGTTCACATGTAAGAAATATTTCCTTGTGGATTCATCTCCGAAGATTCACACACCAGCCTGCTCCTCCCGGGGCCACTGGGTGGGGTGGGGGAGTTGGTGGGTGGCTGGAATGCATGAAAAGAATGGAAATTAAGATCTAAATGAGGCCAAAGCAAATCTAAATGGGAAGAAATTCAATCTCATCATAATGACATTTAGTATTTTTCAAAGCCCCAAATAAATAGTATTTAGAATGTCAATCATTTTAAATAATGTGATTAATAATATAGAGAGTACAGATATTTAAACGGGTTTCAAATGGGAGAGAAGTACCATAAGTCTATCTTTGAGAACAATGTGAAATCAGAAAGCAAACATATTAGAACTAATCCATGTATGGTTCTGTGTTCTCTTCTTCCCCAGATGTGTGACCCTAAGCATAACCTGAAATCCGTTAACTTGCATCAGTCACTGTAGGCTTCCCTGGTCCTATGGTAAAAAAAGTCTTTGCCCTTAGTGGCAGAGGTTGTTTTCTTGAGAAGCTTTGAAATTCATTTACGGCTGTCTGTGACAGATGGCACAGAAGGGACTCTCTTACCGAGTGGGTTGGCTTCAAACTCACCACCCAACTTTACTTTCTATCATCCTAAGAGGACTCTGAATTTGAAACTGTTCTAGGACCTCTCCAACTGGAGAGAGCAAGGTGATGGGAGCTAGTTGCATCTCATTAAGCAACCCTTTGGGCAGGCACTGCACTAGACGTGTTGTACTTGACATTTCATTTAGTGCTTACAGCAACCCCATGACATAGGATTATGATTGACCTCATTTTGCAGAAGAGAGAATAAACAAATTTCTCAACATCACGCAGCCACTGTTAGTAGCTTCCACGTCTGCCTTCAGTGTCTACTCAACTTACAGCAAATATCTTTTATCGTCTATATGAGGATAACTGAAAAATAATCTTGCCTTTATAAATACCGGTAATGAAAAATCCTAAGCTTGAAGAGCTTGTGGGTTTACTTTCACCAAACTTGGACAATTTTTGGCAATAAAGATCAAAGCCAGATGATTTTCTAAACTGTAACTCTTCTAAATTGAAGTTCAGCTATAAAACTAGAAATTAAAATTTTGAGTTTTGTTTTAAAATTGGAAAGCCAACAGTAAGAAAAGTCACTTTCATGGTTTTACCCATTTTTAAGACGCTGACAAGTGCTACATAGTTTGTTAACATAATGTAACACAGGATTAGTTGCTACCTTGCTATAATTGTTTTTCACACCAGGTACTTGTTAACATGTGTCTTAAAATTGGCAGAATATTGCTATGCAATGTGACCGATGTGATTGTGTATTTTTTACCCCTAAATGTTATTTGGTGGTAATATAATTTCTAGTTTGTATAGATTTGTTGAATTACATCCTCACTTTATTGTTCTGTTTTTAATAACAATACAAGACAATTTGCTGTTTATTTGTGAGGCACATAGATCATTTGCCATAACAGAATTGTCTTCCTTGAGGCCTTTGTGATTACCATTCTCAAAGTAAGTGATTTCAATTAATTTCAGTTTGGCAGGTTCAAGTTCTTGCCAAAACTTCCAAATAAGAACATTTGGTAATTGTGTCTCGTGTCAACTGTCCTGATGAAGTTTCTTCATAAATTTTTCTCTGTAAATTTCATCTTTCAACTACCAAATCAATTCCTTTTTAAAAATCAATGTCTCTGAAACTCACATAACAAAGTACAGTCATTAGAATGGAGCACAGTTCAGAAACAGATCTAGGGACAGGGATGAACTAACTTGCTTTCATACACCGAGTGAGATCTGACATGCTCCTTGCTCCTCCTGAAACTCTTTCTACTAAAACACATAGCTAAATTTCCTCATTATTGTTATCTTTTTCCAATTCTTATGCTTTTCTGAAGGTATATATTTTTTTCTCTGGAATACTTTAGAAAAACTTGATCAAAATATGCTAACATAAGTCCACCCCTAAGAGCTAGGTGCACAGACCAGAAAGCTTCCCTTCAGGGAGGAATTACTTTTTTTCTTTCCAAACTACCAGGTGTTACTTCTTCTCTAAATATTTTGTAATGACTAAGGTATCTAGACCATGGGCTACAGCATTATGAACCTAGAAGGTTAACCATCTGGGATAATATTAGATGAGAGTGAAGAGAACACTGTGTCAGTATGATGCCCCACAAAGGGCAGCCTCCATGTTCCTTGAACTGGATCCTCATGGCCAAGGTGTGGCTGCCAATGCCTAACCCATCGCAACTACATCGGGGTTTTTGCATCGTTAACTGAAGCCAAGCACCCCAAAGTTTAAGTGCTTTGCACATTTCACTCTTATACAACTCATTGGAAGGCTCAAGGCCCTCAGCAATCAAAGAAGGAAGATAGATGCATGAAATCAGATTTACCAATTCTTCATTTTCAAACTCCGAGTTATACTGTGCTGCTTCTTCCGTCACTGGTTTCTGAACGATGTTTCTGCAGACGAGCCAGATGGTCAGACTCGCAATGAACATCCCAATATCAGGCACGAACACTCTGATCCCATTGCCAGCATCAGCTCCCTTTAGGCTATGAAGGGAAAAGAAAAAGGGAGGGGGAGGAAATTTAGTTGTTTTTCTATTCCTATGGTGACACTATCTCCAAATAGGTCTGTATCTCCTTAATGAATTTTTTAAAAAAGCAATACTCAGTTTCTGCCTAGAGGATACGGGAAAGCGTTTCATCGACCTCAGAGTCTTATGTAATCTGCTAAGATTCAGGAAGGCACCAGGGTTTCACTGGAGTTTCAGAAATATTATAAAGACTCCTAAACCAATTCTCACTTCTAAAACACGCTAATGAACTGTATTGTTATTAAATAAGCCCGTGTGCCGTACAGAACAGGTGTGGGGAATCTAACTGAAGCAGTTAAAAACTAGACATATACTAGTAGCCAGGAGATATTATACCTTAGAGGTAAATCAAAGCTGGAGGGAAAACAGAGAAAATGTTACAGCAATCCTTGAAGGGAGGACCTCTTCATTATTTTGAATACGTAGTTGATTTTGTTTTCCATACTGTTCCAAGAAAGGCAGACCTAGTACACTTCTTCTTTTAATCGTGGAGAATGGACTGTGAACTTCGAATTGGAAGATTTGGGTTCAAGTGTAATAAGCCTGACACTGACACATGGCATTCCTGGGTGGAGGGTGTAGGGGGAGGCAAGGGCCCTTCCCATGGCCCTATGTTCCTCCTCCTCCAAGCCAAAGAGATAACTACTCTTCACCTTCCTTATCTCATTTAAGTCAAATGCAAGTGACTCAAGGTTTATAGAGATAAAAACTTATTTAGGGACTCTGCATGTGTATGATCAAATACCTACTGGATTCATTTACATTGTGTATATTGTGTATTTTGGCAAAAACAAAGTATAACACACAGCACAGTATAACACACAAAGTATAACACACAGTATAACAAAGTATAACACACAGTATAACACAACACAAAATGTTAACAATGGTTAACAATGTTGTTAACATTAACATAACATATGTTATGTTAATGTTATATTATGTTAACATAACAATGTTGTTAACATTAACAATGTTGTTAACACAACACAAAATGTTAACAATGGTTATATCTAGGTAGCCCTCCGTTGCCTACCTAGATATAACCATTGTTAATATTTTGATAAATTAAAGCATTGTTAATAATATCTACCACTAACTGAGCAATTGCTCTGTGTTATAAGATTGGTACATATTATTTCATCCAGCCAGTTACCATACAGAGTTAGGCATTATTATTTATCCTTCTTTGCATTAAAAACAAAACAAAACAAAACAAAAACAAAAACAAAAAACAAACCCAACTTCGGCTCCAAAAGGAAAAAGTATTTCCCTGAAGTCACACAGAGAGAGGAGAGTGAAGTATACTCAAGCTCCATTTAGATACAAATTTTATGCTCTCCACCACTGTGTTCTCATGTATGTACCTGCCTGGCTTTCCTTTCCAAGCTTCCTTGGTGCCTTGACATGCATACTGAGAGTTTACAATGCTAAGCTCATACATCACCTATTGTTTTGAAAATAATTAGTTCATTTACTGTATCACTAATACTTTTATTACTCACTGATGATTTTTATTTTTTATTTTTTTAAAGATTTTATTTATTTATTTGACAGACAGAGAGGCAGCGAGAGAGGGAACACAAGCAAGGAGATTGGGAGAGGGAGAAGTAGACTTCCCACAGAGCAGGGAGCCTGATGCGGGGCTCAATCTCAGGACCCTGGGATCATGACCTGAGCCGAAGGCAGACACTTAACGACTGAGACACCCAGGTGCCCCTCACTGATGATTTTTAAACATCACCAAGTTCATGATCAGATAGCACATAACTATTCCACTATATTGCATTTAGAATGTTTTCATTTATTTGTTACTATCATAATATGTAAAAGTTAAAACTTAATTACTTCAAGAATCTAGAAGAAAATCTTCAGACCAGTCTAATTTGCTTTTTTAAAAAATGGTCTGGAAGAGACCATGCCCTACAGAAGCTTCACGTTCAGACATGGCTCTAAACCCTTCCAAACAGAGAAACATGAAAGTGAGAAGAGATCCCTTTACCTCCTTACATGAAACAAATGTGATTGTGTCAGAGGGATTAAAAAATTACAAATTCCATTCATTTGGAGTAAGAGGAAGAGAATTCAACTAAGAAAGTTGCATCTAAACTACACTTAGAACAATGAAATCTAATGATTGATTTTATCACCAAAGGTAGAAGTTTGTTGTATACTATTAAAAGTGATCAAACAGAGCAAACAAAAATTAGCATCATTACAGGGAGAAGAAAGAGGGGATCCAGGAGGCAGACCAGAACACAAAGGCCAGGCTCTGGTAGGTGCTTGCTGTGTGGGGCTAAGATCAGGAGAGCTGCTAGTCCTAATAGGTTATTAGAGCTCTTTCATGGGAAACAAATTGACTGCGGCATTGTATAAAAAGCACTAACCAAGCAGGGTTGAGGGCAAAAGAATTCTTCAAGGAAAGGTGTCAAGGACTCCAGCTGTGGCCTCAGCTGCTCCTTGCCCCACAGTACAGAGACCTAGGAAGCCCCAGCAAAGCCTTACGCCTTTCCCACCTGTGGACTGCATTAAGCTCCCAGTCTGCAAACAGTCTCTTTGAGGCAACAGGCTCGGCTTTGTGTTTCTTGGTCCCAAAAGACACATTTCACAGCATACATATATTACGAGAGTAAATGAATGCTGTTTGCAAAAGCAATCACGCCGCTCACTGTGATAGAATTTAGCTACTGGATCCAGGATTGGGCTGTGATCCCGATTTGCAATGAAATCATTCAGCCACAGAGGTGCTAACCTATTAACTACTACTCTTGGCTTGCTGATTTAACAAAGCCGTGCATTCATAATGCCACGACTGCAGAAACAAAGACACTTTTGAAGAATATAATGAAGAGCAGGTCCAATGAACAGGTCACAGTCTAACTGATATATCATTTGGGGATCATTTTATCAATCAAGTCTCCTTCTTCACTGTTTAGACCAGTGTCTACTAAAGCCCATTCATCAGAACGTCAGTCCTCAGAAATGTGGTAAGTTAAACAAAACAAGGCAAAAAATGAAAAAAAAAAAAAAAAAGTCTTCAGACAAATAAGTGTTAGAAAATCACAATGCATAGTACTGTGGTAAAGAACCTGTGAAGTTCTGTAGTAAAACAAGAAATTTGAGTTGATTTATGCCTCTGTTCCAAAATTTATTTGACCAAAAACCATTTCTTAAAATTTTTATCTGATGCCTATCACATTTTACTGAGCTAGTGTTCATGGAACCGGTCTTAGGAAATGTTGCGCTAGAGTCTGCTTAATGGTCTAGTTTTTGATTGAAATGAATGGATAATTTGGAAACTATCCTAATGTGCCGCTAAGCCCTACAAATTTGATGTTTACTAGGTCTCAAATAACTTTTGAAGTCAGTGGCATCTCATTCCATTCTATTATCCAGTCGTCTAACTATCCATCTATTAACTCGCTAAGTCATTGAAATCGTGAAGCTGGAAGGAACTACAAATAGTCCAGCTCTTCTTATCTGATAGATAGGAAACCAACAAGAGAAAGGGCTAAATGGTTGGTCCAACTGCTCACCTAGGGGCAGACTACTTCTACTCAAAGTCTTCTGATGAGTATAGGCAACACTCACTGCTCCTGTCCTTACTCAGCCATCTTCTACCTACTGTAACAGGCTCCTTTGCCCACACTGCTCAGAAAATGCTCTTTCAAGGGTCACAAGTGATCTCCCTGCTACAAGGCCCAAAGAGCCCATTCTCATCCTACCCTAACTCTGAACTGCACTTGACAAGCAAGATCAGCCCTTTCTGTTCTCGAACCTATTCCTTGGTTTTCTTGCCTTTCCTTTCTAGCTATCTAGATAGCTATGGATAACTGGGGATATTCCTGGAAACTTGCATTGTTTAGTGGGATATCCCACTAAGAAGTACTGGGCTGGGGGTGCCTGGGTGGCTTACAAGGTTAAGCCTCTGCCTTTAGCTCAGGTGATGATCTCAGGGTCCTGGGATCGAGCCCCACATTAGGCTCTCTGTTTGGCGGGGAGTCCGCTTCCTCCTCTCTCTCTGCCTGCCTGCTTGCGATCTCTCACTCTCTCTCTGTCAAATAAATAAATAAAGTCTTAAAAAAAAAAGTACTGGGCTGTGTTTTACCCATTGGACTCTTCTTTTCTCCTCAAATGTTGACAAGTCTGCAAGGTTCTACTCTTCACTTATTTTTCTTCTAATGCTACATGGTAAACCTGGGTGATTTACCTACCCCCCCGGCTCCCCAGGCACCAACATGATGACTTACAAATCCACACAGCCAATCCAAAACTTTCCCCTGAGATATACCAATGGATACCCACTTTCCTACTAGATATGTCCACTTCTAAAGCTTTTAAAACTAAATGTTATCTTTATTCCAAAAGCTGTTCTTCCTAACCTTGAAAAAGTGGTGCTGTCATTAATCTAGAAACCAAGACAGAACCTGGACCCTGAAAAGCTGGGGGTTCTGTCTCCATAATGTTTCTCTTGCTGCCATTTTATCCCCACATCTCAGTTCTGCTCCTGGATTACTGCAGTAGCATCCTCATTATTTTGTCTCAGGTGGTCCCCTCTGCCAACAGGTCTCCATGTTACTACCAGAGTTTCATTTTTAGAAGCATAAGGTTGACCATGTGAACTGTGCTGCCCACAGGAAAGGTCCATATTCCTGAGTATGGTGTGTGAGGCCCTTGGTGTTACAGGCCTGGTTGCCTTAACTCTTACTATGATTTTTTTGTACCTCAAATTCCATCCACCCCGAATATGCAAATGTTTTTCCCTGTGAGCTGTTGTGCAACCTCCTCCCTTAGCCAACAATGCCCTTCCCCCACATCTCCATTGTGAAGCCCTTCCATCACCCTTCCTTGACCATTTCCTCCTTTAAAAGCCTGCCATACCTTGCACATACTTGATCATAAAATGTTTAATATTTTATGTCACTCAGTGACATAAGATGAGAGCTTCCTGTCTAC